GCCCGCTGCCACGCCTCGCCCAACTCGCCGGAGCCGCTCCCGCCGTCGTCGGTGAACGTCGCCGCCGCCATCGGTTTTTCCGACCCGAACCGGTATAAACCGATTTAACCCGCCCGGTTTTTTTGGTTTCGCGTAATAGATCGGTTTTGTTTTAGGGTTCGCTAATTAGCGAACGTTCACCCGTTCTTCTCTGTTAACGAACGATTTCGTTCGTTAGTCTTTGTTAGCGGACGTTCCTCTCATAGATTTTTCTTTTTAGTTTTATTTTCGGCTAGGGACCTATCCATAATTACTTTTATCGCAGATTAGTCCCTGGTCTTTAAACCTTCGCTACTTTTTGCTCGTTTGTCCAAATCCAGTGAAACCAACGCCAAAATCTTCATTTCCCTCTATCCAGATAATCAACTTAAACATGATTTTGAAAATTTAAAATTTGGTTTCAAGCAAATTTGAATTTGAACTTTTTTTTATCGTAGTTTGAGTTTCGTAACTCCGATTTGATTGTTTCTTTTTGCAAATCAAAGCTCTTCACTTGAACTTTCAGTTTAGATCTTTTTTCTTGGTTTTACCTTTCATCTTATGCTTGAGTGCTTATGTATGCTATTGTTCGTTCATGATAGAGTTTTCGAAGTGCGAGGCTTGCTACTATGAATCTCTAGGGTTTTCCGATCGTCAGCAAGACAAGTAACACTTTGATCATATCCCTTTATTACCCAGTTTTTATGCATTAGTTTCAACCCTCAAACATTGCATGAGTAGGATTTTGATTAACATGTGCGTATTGGGAAGTAGTTGATGAGGTAGGAACCTATTGCCTTTTATCAAACCCTAGGTAGTTACTACGTTATGCTTATACTGCTATGCTATGCTCGTAGACATGGTTTGATTTTGAGAGAATTCATGAAAGATGTGAGAGTTATTATTAACTAAGGGTTAACTTAAGGTGACTACTTTAATACACATCCGGGTGGATTGGTTATGGCATGTAACATCCCAAAATTTTCTAAATTTTGGAATGTTAATAAATAAGTAATATTGTATGAATTGCTTCAGTTTTCTCAAGAATTTAAAACTTTTGAGCCCTTGTTTAAATGTTTTCAAACCATGTTAAATAAGAATTTGATAACATTTTTGTCCAAAAAAAGAATATGGTTTGGAAAGTTTATTCAAGAATTCAAAGGGCATTCAATTCTTTCGGAATATCCACAATCAAATATATGAGTGAGAATAAAATGACTTTCTC